ATGACTACTTTTGACTGACTTCATATCTTTTTGTTAGAAGTTTGCATGGTGAATGAAATTTGTGTTATTCGAATGACTTTCTAACTTGGCCCAAAATCAATGTAACCAGTTTACTTCATATTTTTTGTCCATACAATTTTTTTTAAAACATTGTATTTGATTTTGTTGGCAAATTTCAATGTCATCAGTTTAGAATATGAACTTGTTGGCATTGAAGTGTAAAGTTACAAAACTTATATTTTGTTGCCATTGGAAAGGAAAATATGAACTTTATATGTATGGTATTTGCTAGCCAAGTGAAATATAACAAACTTGTTACAAAGTACTATTTACTTATTGTATTTTGTTATGTTTTATATGGAATTTCATAATTTGTATTCTATATGTAAAAGAACATGCCAAGATCTATCCATTGATTATGCTATAAACACAAATTTAGGACTCAAATTAAAACCTTATTTTTTAGGATGCTTCTATTTTCATAAACTAAAATAATTTAATTATAACAAATGTGTATTAATACACAAACATAATCATATTACACAAATCTGTAAGTTTAGAATCATATCCAGCTTGCAATCGACAGCATACATATTACAAGCCAATCACCCTAAACACTAGACTAAACTTTGTTCATTTTCTTTTCAACATCAACATAAAAATAACAACAAACAAATATATTGCAATCCACTTCCAACTTCTATTCTTGCGATTACAATTGTTGTTGTTTGCATTTGCTTAAATGACTTGATTTTGGTGTTCCTTTCTTCACATCTTTCTTGATAAACCTAAAATGACTATCTTGCTGTATTCATCTATTAGAGGATTACACCATTGAAAAAACCTACATGCATATGAACTTGTTGGCATTGAAGTGTAAAGTTACAAAACTTATATTTTGTTGCCATTGGAAAGGAAAATATGAACTTTATAAGTATGGTATTTGCTAGCCAAGTGAAATATAACAAACTTGTTACAAAGTACTATTTACTTATTGTATTTTGTTATGTTTTATATGAAATTTCATAATTTGTGTTCTATATGTAAAAGAACATGCCAAGATCTATCCATTGATTATGCTATGAACACAAATTTAAGACTCAAATTAAAACCTTATTTTTTAGGATGCTTCTATTTTCATAAACTAAAATAATTTAATTATAACAAATGTGTATTAATACACAAACATAATCATATTACATAAATTTGTAAATTTAGAATCATATCCAGCTTGCAATCAACACCATATATATTACAAGCCAATTACCCTAAACAATAGACTAAACTTTATTCATTTTCTTTTCAACATCAACATAAAAATAACAACAAACAAACATATTGCAATCCACTTCCAGCTTTTATTCTTGCGATTACAATTGTTGTTGTTTGCATTTGCTTAAATGACTTGATTTTGGTGTTCCTTTCTTCGCATCCTCCTTGATAAACCTAAAATGACTATCTTGTTGTATTCATCTATTAGAGGATTACACCATTGAAAAAACCTACATGCATCAAGTTGTTGCAAATATAAACAAAAAATATTACCAAATTAAAGAATAAAAGCACACTAAATTAAAGAAATAAAAATTATAAACACACTACCCATTGTTGTTACTTGCTACTTATATAAAAAATCATACACACTAATTTGTTGTGTGTAGACACCCCAATCTATCCAGGATTTACATTTGATTTTTGCTAATATAATAAATAAAAACTAAAAAAAATGAAAATGAAAAGGCTAGAAAAAAATGAAAAAATGGGAAAAGTTTAAGTGGAATTAAAATTATGAGTTTAGGTAAGATTAAAATTTAAAGTTAAAACTTGAAAAAGACTAAAATCCTTTTTAGTTTAGGGCTCTCAGATTACACTCTATAAATGCACAAAACATAAACACAAGAGGGCAGAGATCATAAACGAATCACAGAAAAAAGATCCAAAGATCATAAACACACTAGAAATCGGTAATGAAACAAAGAAAACACTTAGCCAAAATCCAAGAGAGAACTTGGCACAGCTTGTGTTTAGAGCGATAATATGCAGCAGACCATCGTGTAGAGTCACCAACTTGTGGAAAGAAGTAAGAAAGGAAGTGCCTTGATCGAAAGTCTAAGAAAGAGAGAAGCAAACGAGAAAGTGAAAAGAGCAAATAAGGAAAGTAAATAGGTTCGATAAAGCTTGAATTGATTTGAAGACTTTTCAAAGAGTCCCACGTGCTTATCTTCATTTTAGTCAAACTTTGGTACTTTTACTTCTTTTATTTAGTTTTTTATTTATAAATTCTTTAATTATTTGTACTTGTTCTTTTTTTATTATTATTCTTTAATTGATTGCTTATTCATTTATTTTATGCATAATTGTTTATTTATTCACTTTATTTTATGGTTTTCATTATTTGATATTAAATAAAATAATAATAAAAAAACATAAAATAATAAAATTTGAAAATAAGAATTAATTATCCAATGATGAAATTTATAAAAATTTCAAATGATAAATTTTTATAAAATTTCTACGTGAAAAATTCTATTTAAATTTGTCTCAAATTGTGGAATAATTTAGATAAAGTTTCAATAACAATAATTAATATTTATTTTAAAATAAAAAAAATAAAAATAAAAAATAAAAATTTGGGTTGAAAATATTTGATAATTATCCAAGGATGAGATTCTTATAAATTTCAAATGGTAAATTTTTAAAAAATCTTTAGGTGAGAAATTTTATTTAAATTTGTCCCAAATGGTGGAATAATTTAAATGAAATTTCAAAAAAAAAATTATCATATTATTTTCTTTCCAAAAATAAAAAATAAAAAATAAGAATTTCTAAATATGTTAAAATGGTGAAAATTTTAGAAATTTCGAAAAAAAAAAATTTTAAATTGACCCAAATGTTGAAAAATTTAGAGATAAAAAAAAATTTATAAATAGCACAAATGGTGAAAATTTTAAAAATTCAAAAGGAGAATATTTTTAATTTGACCCAAATTATGAAACAATTAGATATATTTTTGAAAAAAAAATAATTAAACTTTTTTCCGACGATGAAACCTCTTTAAAAAATTAAATGAGATTCTTGAATACTCTTGAGGTGAGAAAATATTTTTTAAGAGTTCTACCAGATTGATGGAGAATCTTAAGAATTATTTTCCATATTTCAACATAAAAATTTGAAACCATTAAAACCAAAACTCTAAAATAAATTTAAAATAATATGATACCATCCTTCAGATAGGCATGTGGGGGTGCTATAACATTCTCCACATTTAATCGAACTCTCGAATCATGTTCTGGTTTGTAGACCCAAACATATTCTTTGGAAACCTTTAGTCAAGCTTAAGAGCTCCTTAAATGGATAAATTCCTTAGGTGACCAATCACACATAGATAAAAAAGATTGGTGGAACTCCATTCATTTGTTAAATCTAGTTATAGATTTACAGATCTATATGTTATGACATTGTGTTCTTAAATATCTACAAAATTCAAAACCTATAGTTAGTTTTCACATATTCAAAACCTATATTCAAAGTCCACATATCATTTGTTGTGTTCTCAAAATCTTACTATATCTATAAAACCCATAATTCAATTAATGAAAAAAAAAAAATACTATGTTCTTACACCATAGTTGTTACAACCTATATCTTCCATATGTCAACCCCTAACTCCTCTCTTTCAACACCTAGGTTCTCCCTTTCAACCCTTAACTCCTCATTTCAACCCTCAATTCCCTCTTTTCAAACTCCCTTTCTTTTCTCTTCAAGACCCAAAAAATGAATCTCCTCTTTTGATCTCCTTTGTTCCTTCTTTTGATCCCCTTTTTTCTCTTTAAGATCCAAAATGATTCTTATACAATTTTTAAGGAATATTTAAGGTTTTATTTTTTTGTAATTTCACATATTTTAAGTACGCATATCTTTCGTAGATATTAAAAAATTCCACATAATTAAATTTTTAAAGGTTGTAAGTTATGTCAAATTAAATTTTTCATCCATTTAAACGATCCAACAAATGAATTAACTACATTGATACACATTTAAATAACTAAAGACTCAATTAAAATTTTTTAAAGTTTAAAGATCATAATAAAATTAATCCAAATTTTATAAACCACATGTGCTACTTACTCTTTACACTTACTCTTTACAAAATTTATAATGACATAAAAAGATGTAAGAATACCATGTGACACCTAAAAATTAAGATAATAATATCATATGCCGGAATACCATTAAAGACTAACAATTGAGTAACAAAAAAACTAAAATTTTAGTAACTAAATTAAAAATTTTAATAGTTAAATTACTATTTTTAATACCATAATTGAGTGACTAATAATGCATTTTGTAAAAAAAATTCAAAGCTATAAAAAGGAATGCTCAAAATGCGAGGAACATTGTATCCATAAAAACCAAGGCTGTTTGTAGCGTACATAAACTGTCTAAACTCTTCACTCTTCATCTTCACACTGATTTCGTTCGCTTTTTCTCCTCTTTCTGCTTTCTTGTACTCCTTTCCTTCTTTCAGCCTCTCTTTGCTAATCCAAAGGCTTCCAACTATCCAATTAGTTTAATTGTATTTCTTAGCCCTTTAAATGAGAGATGAATTTATCAGGCAAGAATGACTCACTAGGAGAAATAGAATGAAACAAATGCAATATATATATATATATATATATATATATGTACATTTGTTGTTTGTATAACAAGAAAGCTTATAAAAATTTGATCATCTGATTATGGAGCAAGATGAACGACTGCTAGGATTCAGACGATTTCTCTTCAACATATTCTCCAAGTTCTTTAGACACTTGGGCTGTCCAACCTGTATAATGGAAGAACACCACATAAAATTCTTGTAAGATTCATCAATAGTGGCAGATCTAGAGTTTTTCTTCAGAGGTGTCTACTTAAAATATATATAAAAACTGCAAATGAAATTATCGATTTAATTGACGGAAAAAAAGTCATAGGAAAATTTTTGAAGCATGTGAGGGAAATATTCCTTCAAATTTTTTTTTTTTAATTTTTCAATCTTTGGGGGTGCTCATGGACAGCCTACTATCCATTTGGATCCGCCTCTACTCAACAAGCGAGCTAGCTAGCCAGAAGATGTAATCATACACATGCATATACATATTATGAATGATAATAGGAATGTAGAACATGTCGGTCATAGTCAAGCCACCTCCAGGCTCCAGACAACGCAAAGTCGAAACCAGCTTAGACCACCAAAGCCACCTAATGGTTCCAGAAAACTCAAAAGCGAAGACCGGCTATATGAAGAAGGCATACTCTAGAGAGTGAGACAACCACGAACTCAAACTTTCACAACCTAGGTACTCATGGTCCACTGGAACTAAAACTTATTTTTGTTTCTGATCATCTTTCGAAATTCAAGTAACATGGTAATACAAAGAATGTAGAAGGATAGACTAAAGATATTGGATGTATAAAAGGAGGGGCTCCTGATACCCACTTTTCTCACTTATCCTTCCGATATTCTCTCTTTATCATCACAAATTTTCCCTGCAAGAAAATTTTTGGCATCACCATTATAAAGAAACTCCCCACATATGCCACTATTCCTCCAATTTTAGAATAATCACCACAGTAAGCCCTTTTTTCTAGCTGAAGAAATGAAGCCATATTTCTATAACGTATTTTGAAAGGTGGAGATACAACACAAAAAAGACCACAACAAGTTGGTTTATGCAAAAAAAAGCAGGCACAAGCCCATTTACATCCTCTGTGTATATGTGTGTGCATGAGAGAGAGAGAGAGAGAGAAAGAGGAAGACACCTTCCAACGCCCCTTATGTGCAAGTTGGTTACTTATGTGATCAAGCCTTGTAATTATCTGCCTGAATGGTGGTCTCTTGAATGGCTCCTCATGCCAACATTCCTCAATTAACCTGCAGAAAACATAAGGATCTACTTTAGTAAGAAAAGAAGAAATATACATTAAGGGCTACAATGTAGATCCTTTGACTTTGCTTTGTAAACTTCACTAAATCTATGTTAAAAAAAAAACAAGGGAGACGATGAAAATAACCTCCTCTGAATCCCCTATTACTTTTTCTGGGTTACAGGTACTATAGTAAATTTAAGGCTCAATAACTTGAACCAGTAAGCCATTTGGCTCGAAGATATGCAACAATTGGTTGACAAGCAACAATCTTAAGAATTCATGGGTAAGGTAAAACCATTTAAAGATAACAAACAAATATAACACTTTGTTTCCTCTTCCACACACAGCCCCTTCACCCTCGTCATTTTCTCTCTGGCATTTCCATTTATAAGCAGCTCAAATTCAAATGGTGTCAAAAATATCATCAAGTTGCAGCAGTCTTGATCTCTCCGAGGTATATCTATGCATGATCCTGATTTATTTGACATTAATTTCATGCATTTCTCATATACTGTTGAATTCAGACATGCTGGCCACCAGAGTGACAAACAAGAGATACTATGCATGACAAGCTACAAACTTCAGATAGATACTCTAATAAATAATGTTCACAGCAGCAATAGAACTTGAAACTTTAAAATAGACGAGAATGAAAAGATCAATTTCCTTCTTTTTGGAGTTCATATAAATTGGTCAGACATATGAATAGTTCACATTATGCATGAAAAGATCAATTTCCTTCATTTTGGAGTTCATATAAATTGGTCAGACATATGAATAGTTCACATTATGCTTTTGCAAGTACCAACAACGCTTTTCTGAATTCATTAATGGTCCCGAAAGGATTTAGGAAGAAACCAAGGTCCAGACAAGGGCTTACTCCTTTAACCCATAAGCATAGCACTTTGCAGGAGCTCGAAAAGGTGGTCGCTCATTTGCAACATATGCTTTAGGGACTTCACTTTCTTGCTTTGTATGAAATGGTGGAAAACCTTCAATCATCTAGACCAATGATAAATGACATATTATTGCAACCTCTATATGTATCAAATAGTGTTGATAAAATAACAAGTACAAAGACACTTATAGATCTTAGGCATGCAACTGTCATCAAGCGCCATGTAAAAGAAATAAAAATGGATAAAACTCTATTGAGAGAGGATAAAGTGGAGAGGTTACAAAACACAATTTCTAAAATTATACGTGCACACACAAGACACTTGCACAAACACACAGATAGATTTAGTTACAATTTTAGCCAATTAAATTACATTTCTATTATTTTTAATTTATTTAATGTTCTTTAGCATGCTTAGCATAGTTTATTTAGTAGTTGTATAGTTTAGTAGCAGTTACACATAGTTTAGTTAGTTTAGAGTTCTAAAGAACATAACAATAAGAACAAATTTTTTCAGGCATTTTTATTAAAACCTTAATGCTTTAGTTCAAAGCAAAGCAAATTCACATATTCATAGGAGAAAAGCAATTAAATGTATATTTCTCTGCCAAATGCATCTGTTCCAACCATAAAAGATCAAGCAGCTATATGTCCAATACATTTCATTCCTAATGTACAAAAACAGCAGTGATAAAGAAATACAAAGATAGGCACAGACGCACACACATATACACACACACACACGTGCGTATATACATATATTTATATCTTCACCTTATTTTTTATGGAATTTACTGATTGGGCACCATCAAAACACACACACACAAACACGCGTGTATACATATATTTATATCTTCACTTTATTGTTTTGATGGAATTTATTGATTGGGCAACATTGAAACACATACAAACACATATATAAATATATTTATATCTTCACTTTATTGTTTTGATAGAATTTATTGATCGGGCACCGTTGAAGGCCCTAAGATGATGTTGTGAACATAAGATTGTCCATCTAATCTCCTCTTGGAGACTGAAATTATGATTCTGTAATTGAATAACAGAAATTATGTTCTTATTGTGTTGTCTGTTTAAATGCTCTGATTCACACACTAGCACATATATACAGATATTTATATCTTCACTTTATTGTTTTGATGGAATTTATTGATTGGACACCACTGAAGGCCTTAAGATGATGTTGTGAACATAAGATTGTCCATCTCATCTCCTCTTGGAGATTGAAATTATGATTCTGTAATTGAGTAACAGAAATTATGTTCTTACTGTATTTGTCTGTTTAAATGCAATGCTCTGATTCTCTTATGTCTAGTGTGTTGTTCTGATAAACTAAAAGATACCTAAATTACGAGAGAGCAAGTCAGAAATGAAAGGGGTGGAGGGTAACAAAGAGAATGAAGAAGAAGAAAGATGGGGGAGAGGCAACAGGGGGGGAATCATTGGCTGATCAACTGAGTTTTGATGGATCATAGCTCAAAGTTATTGTCATATAAAGAATTTTTTGCTTAAAAATGAATTAAATTCACGATGTATGCCTTAACTTTAATATTGCATTATGTACCCAACTTCAATCAACCTACTTAATATTTCATAATTACCTTTTGGCTTTAGGTTATATAAATATTGCATTATATGGTAATTTCAATTGATCTCCTTAATGTTTGATAATTATCTGTTAAAGATTATTTAGGTCTCCATGTGAAGCACGGGCTTCTGTCCTAGTTGTTATTTATTGTAGAAGGCTTCAAAGTTTTAGGACAATGAAACAAGCAAGTTCAGTCGAAACCTTCTTATCAGCTCAACTAACAACTATTGTGGGCCTAATAAATAAATTATAAAAAAAAATTGCATAATTTCTCTTTGCTTAGAGCTAGGACCAGTTTCCATGACTACCACTTGCACCCAAAGTTTAAGTTATTAGTTACAGATGTATTAGCAATTGGAAACTTGCAAGACAAGCTTTTGAGTTAGGGAAAAACTCTAACCTCTTGTAATATCAAAGCAAATGAAAACACATCAGCTTTAGTATCATATTCTTCATTTCTGTAAACTTCTGGTGCCACATATTGCCCTGCTCAGGAAGGATGGATAAACCATGATTTATTTTACCATTAAAATGAAGGGATATTTAGTTTTTAAGACTAAGTCAAATTAAAATCGCATATTGCCAAGGCCTACATGACAACCAATGTTTTTAGTTAGCCATCTTAATACATTTCTCTAGTAAACAACAAGTTAATGCAAACCATTAATAAGGAACAAAAACACAAATCACTCAACCTGCCTCTGACTTTCTCAAGGAAGATAAAAAAATGGCTAGCCCAGTAACTCACAAACAAACCCTCCCCCGGTAATAATAGATGATGATGATGATGGAGGATACAGAGTTTTGCCCAATGTAGAAAACTTACAAGAAGTCTCTTGAGATGTCACAGGTCTGTCTTCTTTAACTGTGTTTGCAACTTTGAGCATCTTGCTGACACCAAAGTCTGCAACTTTCAAATGGCCAGAATCATCTCGCAGTATATTTCTGTTACCTTACGCGTAAAACATTAACAACGTTTAAGTAATTTACCCATTTGGGTAATAATAAAACACATGTTCTATGCCCAAGAAGTTATGAGACAGGTTAAGGTATCCGAGAAATATTTAAGAAGGAAGACCTACGAAGGCTCAAGATCCCGATGAATTATTGATTCAGGTTTATGCTCATGCAAATAATTCATTCCCCTGCAATAGATAATAAAATTCTATTAAGGTACCAGTAAATCATCAGAATCCAGCAGGCAATCATCAATTAAAATCCAGTAATAATGACAAAATTTATCAGAATTTGAAAAAAAAAAAAAAAAAGAAATCCATTCTACACAGTAGCAAGGCAACTTTTTTGCTGATTCCACATTCCTTAGAGTCCTTGTCCAGAATTAGCTAAAACATGGAACAGAGAATTTCTATAGTGAACATTGTAGCAATCCACCATCTTTCTCTGCTTCTACAATTACATAGCAACAGTCTAGAAATCTTACTAGCTTTGTATATGTAATGACATTGACAACCTTCTAAAAGTTACCTATACATGTTGCCTATACTTTTATTTTACCTATTTGTCCCCACTTCTGCTCTCTTTAACCGAAACACAAATCCTTTTTCCAGCCATTAATTAATTACACATTGCAGTAAGAAACATTTTTCAACCACATATTCAACAGTAACAAAATTGTCCTCATCTTCTCAGATAATTGTTTCTCTGTACCACCAGTACTACTTTCACTGTGACTGAGTTACAGTGATCCAAGCTTATAATCTCATTCATCATCTTCATGTTCATCAAATTACAAATAACTTTGTTACCACCAAGTAATCCTAAAAGAATTCATGGAAGTAACACACCATCTCAGCATAATCCTTTCTACCTAATAACGCATGGTTCTTGTAAACTAATTGATTTTTTTGGGTAGAAACTAATTGAAATTTTAGTTAAAAAGTCACTTTACATGCTCGATAGAAAATTTAAGAGAAGTTTCTGCAATATGCCTAACCCCAAAAAGCGTCCATGTAGTTTACTCCCAAGAACTATAATAAATATGGGCGTGGAAATTCTAATTTGACAAAGCAACCTTATTTGAATGAAGAGGTGATCTAATAACATACATATAAAAACGCTCATTAATATGAAACTCTATGAAACTAGAGAGAGAGACCAGCCAATCAGAAACTCATAGACATATTCTCAACCACCTAACCAACCTAGCAATATCAAGTGCAAACTTAACAGCAAGTGTTAGTTTTAATGCGCATTTTGGCTTCAAATATGCTCGAAGATCCCCCTGCAAACAAGGAAAAAAAAAGTATAAACTTTTATGTAAATCTCATGTGGTACAAAAGATAAATGAATGTCAAATACATGTGCAAAAGTAATACAACGAGAAGACTTTAGTTATTATTCTTCCACAAAAAAAAAAAAGAACAAAAAGAAAAAAGACATTAGTTATTAGTCAAAGAACTAATACTAATTCCTTTCCCAATTTCTCTTAATCTGGTTTTCCCACATCCTACAGTACACCGCACAGGGCTAAAAGAGAAGAAAGGATAGTGTACTTAACTTGGGAGATCATAAGAGATTACCACCAAATTACTCAAGTAATCTCAAATATGCAATATGCAGCAATTGTACATTCTGGTAATCAAATATACTGCCTAGAACTGAGAATTCCTCCCTCTTAAGGAGGTGGGAATCTAACATTCCTAGTTGATACAAATTAATGTGGGGGTAAAAATAACATCATGCAGAAAAATCAAAATTTAAAAATTTAATAGAAATTTAACATAATGGACCCAAAACAGGTGTCATACATATTCAGATATCCTATTACTATTACTGGACAAAAAATATTTCGACACTCTGTGTTCAGCCATTTTCTTCCTGAAAGATTGGAAGTTAAATGCTTCTTAAGCCAGGGCTTTCTAACAATGACATAAAGACCCATTTTTAATACAGATGCAGCAGCTTCAGAAAACCAAAACTAAAACACAAGTAAGAATGTGAACATGACTATATAAATTTGAAATCTCAAGCAAATACTCATCACAACACAAAAGTTTACATCATCTGAAAGCAGATACACAAGTATTAAAGAACCGTATGCAGTACTAAGAAATAACCAAAAAAAGATGAATATCTCTCAATGTGACGCTAAAATCTTTAGCCTGGGTATAAACATATTCCAGATGGGCTTAGCATTGGTTCCAATTGAAAAAAATATTAAACAAATAGCTTGTTGGTTGAGAGAAATGTCCCAAAGGCCATGGCAAGATTACCAGACTACTCCAAAAATTAGGTGTAACTTTAACTTCTACTTCACTTTCATATCATAATGATTCACAAAGTCACAATGTTGATTTGCTTCAGTTTATTCTAAGAATGGCTCCAGCCTGCATTCATAAACTACTAAATGAAAAAGAGAGATAGGTTATAAAGAAGATAAGTAATATTTTCTTTATAACTAATAAACTGCTCGAATAGCAATAAAAAATAGTTCACCATTTCCTTAATAATGTTATATTTCATTAATCTCAAGAGCTAAATGGGGATCACAAACTAAGTTCTACATTTTCACAAAACTGTATCATAAACACTAATATTTTCCTTTATTTGTATTAAGAAAAGTAAGATAATAGCCAAAAGTATCTAAAAACAATTTTAGGAGTGAATTGCATGTCAAGATTTTTTTAACAAAAAGTGCAACTTGTTAGCATTATATGGTAAATAAACAAAGCGACAAAATAAACTAATCGCTGTTGTAGCAGGTGTAGAACAAGATCAAACCTTAGGTAAGTATTCTGTAACAATTATCATTGGACTGCTTTGGGTTACAGCACCCAAAAATTGAACAACATTTGGATGACGTATCTTCTGAAGCAATGCAAGTTCATCCCTGAATGCCTTTCTGAAATTTCAAAAAGACATCAAAACTCCACAAACAAAAGGAACAATCAAGAACATTAAATCACAAATTAAATTTAATACAAAGAAATTGGAGATAGAGCATCAAAATTTAAACAAAGAAAGAAAATCACAGATAAAGCTAAAAACAACCCACACTTTGTCATCATCAGTGAAAACTTCCTCTCCAAGTGTTTTAACAGCAACTTTAATGCCCCGCCATGATGCTACGCGAAATGTTCCCTGTGTTAACATTCAACAATTAAATATTTAGAGAGTTGGCCTGCTTGATCCTGACCAATATAGTATCCCAAACAAAAGGAAATCAAATGTGCTTTCTAGAAAAAATGATGGGGAAGCTAGTGCAACAATTCAAGACAACATTACAGCAATGCTAATCATCATCCTTTACTATTTCCATTTTTCGTTTTCTACTTTCAAGTCTCATGGGTGACTCAGTGATGCAAGAATTACTCTCAAGTTTGAATACAAATATAGAAATTCTTATTAGAATTCTAAAGGAATACATGTATTGATGTATTAAGAGATGAACAATCTCATCTAGTGAGCATAAATGGAAAAGGTACTATAGTTTTCAGGACAAAGATAAAACCTAACACCTAACAATAGCATGGGAAACATAAAAAAGTACATCTCACCACTAGTACGATAATATTGTAAATAAAGGTAAAAAATAGCTGAAAGTAATATCACAACAATCAAATAGTACATTACAGCAATTGACAGACAAAAGATAAGGTTCACAGATTACCTTAGTAATATTGACACTGTTAGAAAAATCAAGCTCACTAGGATCAATCTCATACTCTGGCACTTCACGAGAATTTTGAACATGCATCGGAGCTACCTAAAATCAAAGAAAAATAAAGACTTTTGAACATGAATCTACACTTGATCATGTAAAAACAAACTTGACAAATCAAAGAAAAGATCAATAGCAGCTAGAACAAGGTTGATTAAATACCGGAGGTTCAGCACCATACTTCTCCAAAAGCTTGATCACGTCTTGGTTCTTATAGTAAACTGCATCTGCAAGTGGCTGCTTAAACAAAATCATCCATTCAATGATTTTATTTATCAAAGCACAAAATTAACCAAATAATTCCCATTTCAATGAATCTCCCAAAAAACTGGTTAACTTTTTATTATTGCTTTTACTACTTTGTTTTTCGCTTTGGAAGCGAAATGCAAATAATGTGTATTTGGGATGGATACAAGAAACAAAATTTTTGAAAACTTAAAAATATAACAAATGGAATAACAAAATAAACCATTTCATTTTTGTAAAGAACTATTTTGCTAGAACTATTATCGCATTTTAGTCTTTTTTTTTTTTGCTTTTTGTTAACAGTAATCTTACTTTCTATTAGTTGTTATTTGCAGTAATTCTTTGCAAGTACAAAATACATAAAGAAAAAGAGATGAATTACAGTACTGCCCCAGCGATCTGTGGGGTCGACGTCGGCGCCGCTATCAAGAAGCAACTGGACGACGTCAGTAAGGCCCTGACAAGCGGCGACGTGCAGAGCCGTGCGACCGTCGATATCTTTGAAGTTGACATTAGTGCCAGAGTCCAACAGCTCCTTAATCCCTTCCAAGTCGCCCTCGTTAGCCATGTACATTAGCCTCACCCTCGGGTCTATCGCTGCCTCGATTGGTCCGCCAGCCGAGCCGTCCCGGTCCGGCGCAAGCGACGACTGCTTCCCCAGGGTGAATCGGGCTGGCGACTTGCAACTGGTGCTTGAGTCCATTGGATGCTTAAAGAAGGAAAAATATTTTGTTTTTCCTCGCTTTTTGCTACTTGTTTGGTTGGTAGGAGAGGATTTTAAAAGAGTTAAAAAGAGGGGGAGAATATTGGAATTTAACCTTTTTTTCTTGTTTGAACCATCGCTAGTGACAAGAATAAAGAATGTAGATTTCGGCTATTGCTTTAACGAAACACTTGGTTTGATTATGGACAGTGAAAGAGCTTGGAAGATACGTTAAAAAGATGCTAAAACGAAGGGAAGATGGGGCATATCGTGGAGGGTTTATTTTAATGGGATTAATTTTTGATGAAATTAATAATAACAGTAATGGTAAGATTAATTATTATAATAATAAATTAAATATATTAAAATTAATATTAAAATATATATTTAGATATAAATTTAGTTATGACAATAATATTAAATATAATAAAAATAAAAAATTATTAAAGATATTATATTAAAATTAATATATAATAAAATTTATAATATATTTGACATTTATAAATTTAAAAATAATTAAAAGTTAACAAAACTTTTTTATATCAAATAATAACTTTTTAAAAATAAGTAATAACTAGAGATAAGTCCACGTGATGCCACAAGTTCAATATTTATTAATTAAAATATATAATTTTAAATAATTTATAATTTATTTTAATTTTTATTATTTTGATACTAAAACAAAAATAGTAAAAAGTAAAGATGAAAAAAATGAACAAATGAACAAATAAAAATAAAAATAAAAAATAGGAAAAAAGAACTCACAAAGTGCTTTATATACATTCTCATTAAATTTAAAATATAATTTCTTAAATTAAAGTATCAAATAAAAATTTTACTAATATCATACCTGTATATAATTAATTAAATTAATAATAAAATATATACGTTTATATATATATATATATATCTTAAAATGAGTCAAGACAAAATACCTTAAATACACTTCTTCCTCGTATTTTTTAAAAAAACTCAACTCATACCAATTCGATCCTAATTTAAAAAAAATAAAAATCCCCTAATGAATTTGAATAAATCTAAATTGTTTGATACAGATTATTTTAATATCACTACAATGGGCACCTTTCATTATAAAATTTATCTAACTAAAAAATATAAAAAAAAAGAGAAAAAAGACAAATAGAAGTATCACACGAACATCTCCATTGGCCCATTGTTTTAACAAAATTAATTTACTAAAAAAGGCATAAAAACAATAAAAACAAAAAGGAATAAATTGAAAAACAAAAACAAAAAAATTAAAAATAAAGGAAAAAAAATTTATTGGATACTATGTGAACATCCCAATTAAATTCCAAATATTACTTTTTTAAATTTTGGTATTAAATAATAACTTTACTAATACAAATCATAAAAAAATAAACATAAAATATATATAAAAAAAAAAAGAGTATCATTAAGATGTCATGTCGACATTCAAATTAAATTTAAATATTAATATCTTAAATTAAAGTATAAAATATTAACTTTATTAATATAAAATTAAAAATATAATAAAATATATACTTTTATACATATCATAACATGACATAGGGTAAAGCATATTAAACCAACTTTTGATCCATTCTTACTTACTATAAAAAATTAACCTTATTTAACTCATTACCAATTTTATTTTATAAAAATGTCCATATCAAATTAAAACTGATAAAAACATATCGGATATTAATTATTTTGTCATTCTTTTCATTGGCTCATTTTGTTATTAAATTGATCTAATTAAAAAATACAAAATACAAAATATAAAATATAAAAAAAAATAAATAAATATGGTGTTACTAGAGACTTTTATTGATATTATTTTCTTAAAAGTTTATCTAATAAAAAATAATAAACGAAAAAAAAAAAAAAAGAAAGAGCAAAAAATTTAAAACAACAAAAAAGAGAAAATTTGTTCCATGTTGAATTGAGTTGAATCAAAACCCATAAGATGCGTATTGTTTTGCTATCCTTACTTATTAACTCTTTCTTTTTGCAAAAGTTATGTAATTAAAAAAAAAAATCCAAGTTATAATCCTGCATGTATATCTCTATTGATTTTTTAACAAATTTATCTAAATTAAAAATTAACAAAAATTAACAAAAAAGAAAAAAAAGTTAAAAAAAGAAAAAACCATAAGGTGTTACGTCAATACCTTAAATGAAAAGGCAAAATGAATAAAATTTTTATTGTAGATAGATTGATGGATTAAATTTTAATTATGTATAAATATAATATATTTATTAAATTAAGATATTAAATAATAATTTATTAATATAATAATATATAAATATAAAATAAAATAAATAATTAAAAATATAATTATATATAATTGTGACAAGATGAAAGATCATATATCTTTCTTTGATTTGACCCCAATTTTAAAAAGGAAAAACCTCAATTTGATCTTAAATTTTTAAAAACCCACATATATTGGATCTTGTTAACATTAAATTGATCTTTTTTTTGAAATGACAAAAAATTAAACTAAATAAATTTTATTAAGATTTTGAAAAAAAGTTCTTAATACATGTTCTTAAATTATATTATTTTTAGTACTACATAATACTAGTGATATTTGAAATGAAAAATATTTTGAAAAAAAGTTTTAGATTTTGAAAAGATTTATTAATTACATGATTTTATGATATATTATTTTTGGTACTAAATAAATATTATGTCTTTTAAAATATTATTTGATTTGAAAAATATTTTATAAAGCTTAAAAACTTTATTTATGTTTTTATATTTCTCAAACCAAAATTATTTTTAAAAATTATTTATTTGAACTTAAATGAAAGTTTAATTGTTTTTTTATTCATATTTTGGTTTGTTCCTTGATTTTTTTGGTAAAATTGCTCTTAAATGCACATAATTCTCATGTGTAGGTACAAATAATGGAATTGAAGAATTTTAGATATTTTTAATACAAATTTGAAGGATTTTTTGTGTAATTTATGCAAGTGACTTAAACAAGTGTAGGTGCAACATCAATGCACCAATCGGGTATTAAAGAAGAAGAAGGCTCTAGAAACCTAGTATTTAAAGACTTTTTTGGATTTTTTTTTAAACCTTAGGCTTCTTCTCTACCTATAAGTAGAATGAGAGGGCTAGCCATTTGGGGTAGTTAGATTAGGATTTAGATTTTTAGTTCTTACTTTCCTACTCTTTCTTTTCTGCATTTTAAATTTTCTTAGTAGCCAAACATATTTATTTCTAGCATTTTACCTTTGAATTTTATTGCAATCTTATTATTTCCTAAGTGTTTTTAAGTGTACTTTTAGAATTTTTTAATAAAATTTACATTTGAATTCATTTTTAACTCAAATCTATTATTTTCTCATTGATAATCAAATTTGTTTTTGAATTTGTCTACATTAACATACCTATGTTTTCATATCATATCTCATTCAAATTTTACTTGTTTTTGCTTAAATTTTTTCACAATTTCTTTATTTATTTAGTTACAACATATTAAAAATTCAACCTTAAACTTATACCACTGTATTCCAAATCAAGCTTAGAAGATCAGGTTGGATAAGGGTAACAAATGCAAGCTAGTTTTGATCCATCAAGTTTCGAGTGGACTTCTCTACACTTTAGTGATTTATTTGCATTATTTTCTTATTTAAATCTTTGTTTCTACTTGTTACCTTGCTTAGTATAATTTTGTGCCATTTATTTCATATTTTTCATTGCTATTTAGTTAATTTTCTTTGAAGATGTTTTTTTTTCCAAATTTTACATTGATTTTGAATTTGAGTTTAATAAGCTGATTTTGTTATTCATTCATGCTATTTTCTTATTAATTTAGGTGGTTAACTCATAGATTAATATAGTGTTACTTATATGAATTTCCTTTTAAGTAGATAAGTGGCAATTGAATTTTCTTTCTTGAAATTCCATGCAAGTTTAATACATGTTAGATGAATGCGAGTTTCTGTTAAGTGTTTTCTGAATTGTTTTCAATTATTTTACTGTAATTTTTATTCTTCAATTAGTCTTTTACATTTTCATATAAATTTCAGTTTAGGTTAAGTGTTATTTGTGCCATTAGAAGTTCAAATCATGACATAAAAAAAAATTTTATCTATAGTTTGCATTTATATTGCCATTTATAGTTTGCCTGATTTTTGTCGGTTTACTTTCCTTTTTACATTACATTATGTTCATTCATTACTTTTAGATCATGTTTCCATGTAGGTGATATAATGTTTGTTTAGAAATTAGCTCATGTTCAAGAAACTTTGCATTTTCTAACTTACATTCCATGGCATGATAAGCATCATTTTCCAGCTTTTATAATCCCAGAATGTAGGTTTCATCTTCATATGGATTCATTTTCCACATGTATTTCATGTCACCTTTCAACAATGCATTCTAGTGTAGTATGATTTGTTCTTACATTTTAGTTTTAGTTTTATTATAATTAGCTTACATTTAGATAGAGTTTATTAGTTGTACTTCCATTTTAATGATTTTTTAATTTTCATGCTTTTACTATTTATGATATTTTCATGCATTTTACATATTTGTTTACTTTTATTTATTTTTAAGTTAGTCTAGTTCCATGCTTATCATTTGATTGAATCAACCTTAGAAAGGTATGAGGATAAAGGTCCTTAACTTAGGAATGTTTTTAACTAATCATCGTGGGATCAATATCTAGACTTTTATAGTTTCTATTATTACTTGAATGGTCTGTGCACTTGTAAAATTAGACCACATTCAAGTTTTTGGTACCGTTGTTAGGGATTAGGTGTAAAAAGTCTTAGGTTAATGTCGTCAACCTTCACTATACTTTTCTATAGATTGGCTTACTTTTAGTGTACTTTTGTTAAGCTAGTTACTGACTTGCTTTGTTTTTATTTTCTTAGGTTGTACACAAACTAACTTTCTTTTGTTAGATTTTGCTTAGGATTTGTTTTTTTTCACATGTGGGATTTCAATATTTTTTAGGTAATCAAGCACCATATAGACCATTCTAGATCTTATTATTTTAATGACTACCTAAGACAATGACCTAGTGAGAAAGACCAAGCCAAAAGAGAGTCGACCTTTCAAGCTTTATCCAAAATTTTATCTTAAAAGTCAAGTACAGGCCATTAAACCTAGGTATGATCTGAAGCCTATTTTTATTGATAACTTTC